AATGCATTTCAATCTTCGATCGAAGTCGGTTTGCACCATGCATTCATCATTTGGGAAAGCCCTTACTTGTGGCATGGTGCAAACATCATTTTTAATCTCACCCACCCCGGTGATAAAGAGTGTAGTCAGGTGCCACTAATTTAGCTAAGGACCTTACCCTAAAATGCATAAAATAGCAGCATCTATATGAAATAATACATTTATGAAATGGATATCAACAAGAAGTGTACGATCGAAGTCAGTTTGCACCATGCATGCATCATTTGGGAAAACCCCTACTAGTGGCTTGGTTTATCAGCAAACATCATTGTAAACGTTGAAGCTCATCTAATTTCAAGACTCATGGTACTAAAGATAGTGAAGATAGAGAACCGGTCTAAAATGGGTGAAAATAAAATATGGTGTAAATAGATTTAGCCTCGTTAAGATTGGTTGATACAAAAAGTACCATTTTAGTAAAATGAATCTTTCGAACGCTTTCCTAGTTTTTACTGAACTCAATAGAAACATTCCTTTATTGATAAATGACAGTCCTTTTAAAGACCTGCGTTTAGAAAGCCCATTCCTGAAATTAGCACCTTACTCTTTGGTTCAGCAATGAAAACAGATGTAGATCTCAACAATGCCGCAGCTAAAAAAGTATTTATGTTGTATAACTCCATGTCGATGCCAAAATTGACGCTTTTAACCCAAATTGCACGATTTTGCGAAGACACTATGTTAAACGCACTGCTAATAAAGTCGATTAAAGAAAAGTACTTCAACATTAGATCTGTGAACTGGGTTATATATACAATCTACATCTTGAGCATCGGTTGATGAAAGCAACTCATCGAGAAAATAGGGTCACATAAGATAAACCATTTGTACGAAAGGTAACTAATTTAGGAATTTGTCTACGCTGTTTTGATGAAAGCCATCCATATTTTGTGCCGTAAAAGGTTTGAAGATTTAATTTAAAGGTGGCATTTTTATGTATACTACAAATGTTAGCCATGTCAAACACATCAAATAGATAGCAACTAGTTTCTGACCTACATCCTTAGCTGCATATAGATAGCCCATTTAGCAAAGTAGATTTAAACCAACACACTTGACAATCTCACCATTCGTCTCGCCCGTTTATGAAGCTCAGTACACTTTAATACATGGATCTCAAACTCAAACCACCCTGAGCGCCACAGGATGGCATTTTCGATGGCCCATGGACCACACATTCTTTCTTATTTCTCATGACATATTACGACACCAAGGATCTTGCGGATCACGTGATACGGCTTGGCTGGCCGTATGCGGCTCGCGAGCCGTTTTTGAGTCCCCTACTTTAATACATCGCAGTCAGAAAACTACGTTTCTTTCTTCTATTGCGAAGCCATTTCTAAGGTAAGATTTTAAATGTTGACGATAACCTTTCCTTTATACATACACCAAGGTTTCATTATTTATGTTTTAAAAGCATTATGCCGCTTTACTGAAATACGAAAAGAATATTGTAGAGTTGCGTGGGGTAAATATTTCTACAACGTCATTGTAACACATGCGTAGTATTATAGACAGTATTGCATAGCAGACTACGAATAGTCTTAGAAAAAGAAAGTATTGCATTGCAAACCAAGAGTTGTACAGAGACAAAACATGAGTAGTTTTAGAGACGGTATTGTTTGTCAGACCATGAGTAGTCTGAGAGACAGTATTTTCAGGAAAACTACGCGTAGTCTCAGAGAACGAACTGCATGGCAGCCCACAAGTAGTGTGGACAGTATTATATGGTTGACCCTGTGTAATTTTATAGACTTAATGGCAAATTAAAATTTGTCGTATATACAGTTTTTTTGCAGATACAAGTAGTCGTAGAGACAGCAATATGTGACAGACTTAGAAATGATATTATATGTCTCACTACTTGTAGTCGCAGAGATGGATTTGTCTGGTAGTTGTAATTGTATTTCTTCGTATTCACCATTCATTCATCCCCTCAAAGTACTCCTCATACTCATCTAGACACCTTATCAGTCTGATTATCCAATTACTTAATTATATTATCTGTTGATCATTGGTATGTTGTTAAAAGAAGACAAATCTGCAATCCACGTTAACTTTTAAAATAATCAACTGATAAAGGATTTGTAGTAGAGTTTTAATATATATGCATGCATGCGTGCTTGCATGCATGCATGCGTGCATGTGTATGTATGTATGTATGTATGTATGTATGTATGTATGTATGTATGTATGTATGTATGTATGTATGTATGTATGTATGTATGTATGTATGTATGTATGTATGTATGTATGTATGTATGTAGGTAGGTAGGTAGGTAGGTAGGTAGGTAGGTAGGTAGGTAGGTAGGTAGGTAGGTAGGTAGGTAGGTAGGTATGAAGATACATCTGGCTATTGCCATTGCTTCTAATTTTAGATCCAAACACTACTTGTGCACTTATTGGTTCTTTTTGTTTATTTATTCAAACTTTCACTCTATTATATCAATGGTTACTGGCATTGAAAGCTTGTCCAGTTCCGAACATGAAAATAAAAACGACACATAACAAAACAAAACTCCATTGATTATTAAAACCCTTTATTACACCCATCCACGTCCCCTTCAATAGGTCAATATACACTACACCATTGATCTTTAGAATTCCCATCAGTTGAGAAATGATACAATCGTGTGTGTGTGTGTGTGTGTGTGAGAGAGAGAGAGAGAGAGATAAAGAGAGAGAGAGAGAGAGAGAGAGAGAGAGAGAGAGAGAGAGAGAGAGAGAGAGAGAGAGAGAGAGAGAGAGAGAGAGATATGCTTGGTATCTACATAAACAAAACGGAGAAATGTATAATAATATCAATCATGCTTTACACTAAGAATTGATAATCCAAGCTATGGTACATATCTGCATTGAATTTATATGTAAATGAGAAAATGAGAATATGCGATGATTGACGTTATTCAACAACTACTATATTTATCTGATACTAGAGTTAGAAAAAAAAACCGTATTTTGTTCATAGTTTGTGTTGAAACAAATTCCATGTCAGCATGGTAGACAGTGTATTGCTGAAGTAGCTAAAAAAATTCAAAAAAATTGTTGCTTCTGTCGTGTCTAGTTTTAAGTGTGGTGGTGCGTAATTTTAAAAATAGAAAACTAAACCAAACAACAACAACCCAAAAATCAGGCATACTAATCATTTTCTTTTCATTACGCCCCCCAATCTTTATAATCTGATTTATTTATTTTAGAGAATGAAGCACACACACACACACACTCACACACACACACACAAACACACACACACACAGATATATATAAATATATATATATATATATATATATATATATATATATATATATATATATATATATATATATATATATATATATACAAGACACACACATATGTCTGTGTGTGTGAAGGACCAGATATTTAGGTCGATATTTGTCTTGTTATTGCTAATTGTGGTAGAACAAATTTAGTTGAACACATGTACGATCAACGAGTTATGGAGAAGTGCCGCATTGACAGAGCAATAACGTACGGATTGGTTCATTTATATTCAGGAGTTATTGATTTATAATTAAGGGCATGGTTTGTTTAAACTTACCGGAGCGGAGTTAAGGTTATGGTTTGCATGGAAGCTGACAGTTGGGACAGTGACCAGGAACCAGGTGGTAGCCATTTGTTGATAGACCTATTTCAGTGTTTCGATGCTTGGGTAAGCGGGATTTTGTTTTTGTAATTTGATTGGTTACGCTGAGAAGGGCCATGGTTTTACACGGAAAACTCTTCAGTTGAAATATGCAAATTCAAATTTAAAAAAATTAGAGGAATTTACAAAAGTAAGGCTCCGATCAAATTTAGAAGAAATTTGCTTTTAGGAAATCATCCAAGGAAAGGAATTGTCTGGAAATATTGACAGACACGTTAAGAGCTTGGCAAAACAAAGAGCCGGGATAATTCTAAAGTCTTAGCTCTAGGTAATAAGTTTTACGAATCCAAACTGGACAGAAGCGAAAGGACTGGGCATATGCAAAATTGGAAAAGAAAATCAAAGTGAAGGAGACCCGTACTTATCAGCGCAAGGAAGTCAAAAGGAACAGTCACAGTGGAATCCGGACGCAACAAGGGTATCAGGTTACAAAAATTGTGCAAGGCAATGACTTTTATATATTCAATGTGATCCAAATAATGATTTAAATTCTATCACGTAGCAGATCGGCAATTGGTATTCGTGCAATAAGTTAAGACAAAGAAAGACGTATATCTTTCTATTGTAGTTTACAATTATTAATTATGTTTTGAACTGTATTTTGATTGAATTTTGTTTCTATTTGTAACGGCAGCTCGTTTTTTTTCTGTTCTATATACTTGCTCAGTTCTTTATCTATTCCAGCCGGCATTTTCTCAATTTATATTGATATTTACTCGTCCTGGGCAAATTACATTGCCAGCGATCACTCTAGACAACAATAACCAAACGGACCCACATCAACAATGCTGGGAAGACTGTAAACCGCCACAATCTATATAGTTACATAATGACTCTTGTGCAGCACTTTCCTGAAATAAAAATATTTTTAAGGTTTATATTTTTTGAGGACTATAGCAAATTTCAATTTTATTGATCCATCTATAAACATCAGTCTGAAAATTAAGTCTCTAAAGTGTTTGTACGTTCAGCCAATTGCATACAAGTATGTTCCATTCATCTTCCATAATCAAATTCCTCCTACCTCTGAATGATCTATGAATATGCGACAAGACAAATCATGTTCTGACCTAACTAAACAGTCTAGTTTGAAAAACCGTACTAAGAGCGGCAGACGACACACGCAGGTTCATACAATAAACTTACCTGGCTTCGACCAGGTAGACTAGAGTAAGTGCGTAAATACTCTTTCCCACTTTGTATTCAAAGCAATAATTAGACGGTGTTTCTATTCGTATATTTTGTATGCAAAGCAATCATTAGACGGTGTTTCTAATTGTACATGAACCATGCATAAACCGTTCCGGTGGCCCAGTGGTTGAAGGCGTCCGCCTCGGATGGGGAAGGTCGTGGGTTCGATCCCCGGTCGAGTTATACCAAAGACTTACAAAAATGATACTAAGAGCTGCCTCGTTTGACGCTCAGCATTAAGATGATAGTGTTAGGACTGGTCGGCCAGGTGTCAGGATAATGTGACTGGGTGGGACATCATGCTACATGTCTGCGGCATAATGCCCATGTGCTAGACATCACTATAAAACTGCCAGACTGCAGACATCGTAGCGATATGACTGAAAAAATTGTTAAAGATACGTAAACAACATTATAAACACTACACCTGAACCATGCATATCTTCTATACTTTTGTGGATGTTATAAATTTGGGGTTAAGGCCATTTCTCAGCGCAACATGCGCTACATATGGCGGCGGTATATATGCTGGTCGAATAATCAGAATTTTCGGTCCATTGGCGGAAGAATTCGGGAAAACCCCGGTAACCTCTACCGACCCAAGACCCAAGTGAAACTTTTAGAATTTTCTCACATACCCACATATGCCAGTGAAAGACACGAAGCCAAGCGGACGTAATGAGATGGTGGTGATTGTAAAGACGAGAGCATTTTACCATTCGGGCACTTGGGGCCCCCAGCAAATTTAGTATCTTATTAAAGTAAATCTGATGCCTAAGGCATTGATTTCTTTGCACATAAGCTGATATTCTCTGAACATTTTCTAAATCTAACGTTATTCCTCGATTTCGGGTTAACGTTTGCTATCTGTCTTTTGCAGCCCAGGCCTAACATCGTCACTGTTTTAAGTTGAAAATTCACTTCACCTAGAGTCAATACGTATGTATCCACAGTCCACTGAAAAGACACAATGACCACTACAAGATCACAAGAAGCTATGTGCACAATAGTTAAAGATAGGACTCTGAAACTAGAAACAGGTATGTAATAGATAATCAATATATAACAACCATTATGTTTTTTAACACTTCGGCACACATACACGGTGTTCCAAAATGTACCAAACTCAGTAGGTGGAAACTATACACCATCCTCAACATTTTGATGAGACTAAATCTAGATGACATAATGCTATTTGATGTTTTACTTAAGATCTAATATATGCAATGAAATGATTCAGCAATTTCCATCAGAACTACAGCTGTGTTATCGACATAAACTCAATGAGTGCGTAGGAGAGCTAAGACCGTTCACAACAATGGCTCGACTGTGTGGATGGATTTAAAATGATAATTATATTCAGCATAACGATGGTAAATTGTTAATTATTGCTTGTGCTAAATATAATTATTGAAAGGTGGCACACCTGGCTTAATTTATGGTAATTTTTAATAAAAATAGTAAAAATAGACAGTTTTTGATTCTACTAAGTCGAATTTTCATCATCAGTATTATTTTCAGTTTTTACTCTCTGACGATGATAAAGTCATGGTATTGGTATTTCCTTTTAAACTACTGCATTAATTATGAAACAATATGTACCTTTAGTGGTGATACTTTTGGGATAGGAGAAATTACGCCTTATTTCAGCTCTCAAAACAGAATACAGTATTGTAGTCCCATTGGATAACAAGATCCATCTGAATGGTTAGACACAAATAATATGACCCATCATAACGGTTAGATTCAGATAGCAGGATCTACCCTAATGGTTAGACACTGTGAACTAGCATTTAGAAGTAACGTTTAATTTCATCATTAATTACTTGTGTGCTAGTTTTAAATTATTTTTGAATTATTTTTATTTTATTTTTGTGGCATTGCATTATGTTGTGGTGATTATTTTCACGTGATCTGATATTTTTTTAAAGAGATATTATGTTTATATAAATCATAGTATGATTCGCATCAGCATGACTTTACCTTGCCTTGCTTTGTCGATTGAGTAAACACTAAGCGGAAACTATTGGTTACTGCCAAGGTCATTTTTCTGGCCCACATGAAATTGCATTGGTTATTGCGAAATGAGTTCTTAGTTCAGTTTTAAAATACCCGTGAAATATTCATTCGTGCAATATATCTTCAGGGAGAAGGGTATATTTATATTAGGGGCCGTAAAGAGCTGTATTTTTACATCTTTGGAGCTCGAGATGTTTTATGACAGCTTGTTCAGAAGTTAAATTATGTTGTTTGTTTAGAATATAATAACCTATTCCCTGGAGAACTATGCAAGTGATAAAGACATTCGATGGAATTTTTTTTTTAATTTGGAATATCACATGTTGTGGTTCAACGTCGAATTCTTGACATTTGTATAAAGACTTCATCTGACGTCATGCTCCTCCATCTTTGAACGTCATCAAGATTCGAACCTGCATTCAGTTAAAACTAATTAGAGATATGATATTTCCTAGGGAAATAAATTATTTTTGTTAAAACTTACGAAGCTCGTTGGTTTCACTCTTTTCTTCTGTTACTTTTGAAGGAGCCTATACCTAACATACCACAAATTGAATTAGAGCAGTTTCATTTGGTGATTTTTCTTTTTTTTTCATCTTGACTAAAGCATCCCAAATGAGGAATCCAATAATAAAATTATAAAATGCCCGATCAGCGAAGTAATATCTCCCACCACCACCCACACCCCTACTGTTTGGAATATGTGGCAATTTTGTGTGAGAATGGTTAGGCATATATATAGCATTATGTGTTACAGTTACAGGGCAAATTACAGTGTCCCTTGTTTAAAATGTTGTATTATATGATATGCCCAATATGAATGAAAAGTAACATGACCATGTTGTCTGATTTGACTAAACATTTGAGAAAAATTAGTGTGTGCCCGGTTAAAAAGAAAGTGCTTTATGATTTTACTGAAAATAAGTGAAAATTACTATGTTCTCTTTTTAAAAGACCATGTATCCAAAAACAAATGAAAATTACTTTATGTACCGTGATGGCTGATGTTCAAGGAGAATTTGAGTGAAGTAAAAGTGTTTGATAACAATCGCGTATTTGACTTACTAAACCGGACAATCAAAATTACTGGAAATAGATTTTTAGAAAATGCAAAGTCTGTATTTTCTGTCGTATTATCGAAGTGTTATAAGATAGTATCTGTACAGATTTGTTCAAATGAGTTGATTCTAACCCTAATTTAAAAGACATTAAAGTCTAAAAGCTTTCGTTCAACTATTTATAAGTATGACTAAGATTTTTACTTTCTGCAAGTGCTTTATAAAAAAAATGCCTTGCTAAGCATACTGTGCACGTGACATGGACTTTATAACTATGCAAAATGTATGTGGCAGGTGTTTAAAACTGTGCATAGTTTCAATATGTATTTTAGAACTCTGCATACATTTTCCGGTACATGAACATTAGAACTGTACATACAGTGTCCGTGAGATGAGCATTATAACCGTGCATACATTGTCCATGACATGGACTTTAAAATTGTAAATTTAGTGTCCGTGACATGAACTTTAAAATTGTAAATTTAGTGTCCGTGACATGGACTTAAAAATTGTAAATTTAGTACCGGCTATGAAAAACGTGCCCACGTGAATCAGATGTATCAATAGTTTGCTCTCATGGAATCCTTAATTAGACAATTTTGATTTCATTGACTCTTGTATGATTTCAACATAAGATGGCTTTCTAACAGTGGAAAAGGTTTAAAGGAAATTTATCTAGCCGATTTCGAAAAGCTCGTGACTAAATAAGCAAATCTAGAAGAAAACATGCCGTACGATTATAGCGTACGTTTTCATTTGGGCCATTGCGCCCACTCTTTATACATGGAGCATTCATTTATATTATATTACGAGGGGATTTAGTCCACCTACGAAGGAAGTCCTGACGAATTTCATGGAGACGAAATAGCCATATTAGCGGGGCCTTATGGGTACTCACTATGAAAAGTGAGCAAATGTGAATCAGATGTACCAATAGTTTGAGCTCATGGAACCCTTACTTAGACAACTTTGATATCAATGCCTCTTGTACAGTATCGACATAAGAACCCTTTCTAATAGTAGAAAAAGTGTAAAGGAAATTTGTCTAGCCGATTTCGAAAAACTCGTTTCTAAATAAGGCAAGTCGAGAAGATAATATGCTGTGCGATTATATCGTACGTTTACATTTGGGCCATTACGTCCACTCTTTATACATGGACTCCTCGTGGATATTTTATTACTAGGGTATAGCGGCCACCTACGAAAAAAGTATTGACGAATTTCATGGAGACGAGATAGCCAAATAAGGGGTACAGGCTATGAAATACAGTACTCACAAATGCGAATCAGATGTATCAATAGATTGATCTCATGGAACCCTTACTTAGACAATTTTGATTGCAATGCCTCTTGCATTGTGTCGATATAACAGCAGAAAAAGATTAAAGGAAATTCGTCGAGCCGATTTCGAGAAACTCGTGACTAAATAAGGCAAGTCAAGAAGAAAACACTCCGTACGATTATATCGTACGTTTATAATTGAGCAATTACGTCCACTCTCTATACATGGACCCTTCGTGGATATTTTATTACTAGGAGATAGAGTCTACCTACGAAGATAACCATTGGGATTACTCTGCTGTGGGCATAACTTGACACTGAGCACAAAGACACCTGTATAAAAAAGATAGGAAAGTTATTTGAGGAATGTCTTGCTAATGTAAATAGTGTTTAATGGAATTAAACATGTATTACAAACTAAAATATTGCAACAAAACACATGCAAGAATCGTCTATATTGCCTAAAGAATGTACTATGTAAAGAAATCTGAGTTTCATTTAACACATTCCACCACATCTGTGATATTCAATTTTATATTGGTGTGGTGACAGTTTTTGACAGTTACGAGGTTACACATTTAATTTAATCTGCTACTGAATACAAGAAAGTTTATAATCAAATGTGCCAAAATATGGTTGATAAAGCTTTATGCTACCTAGCCAATCACCATGGAAATCTTACGAACTTTCCAGACAAAGGACAGAGTAATTCAAAATGACTGTGCCTTGGTTTAATTGTGTGAATCAAGGCATATGCATATTTGTATAAAGATATTTGAAATAAAGCAAGAATTGCATCTATTCACGTTTATGTTCTATATTGTA